CTTCTAGAAAAGATTTATTTCCAATAAGAAAAAGTGTGTTTATGTGGCCTTGCCCAAAAGGAACACCACTGATATATACCTGAGGTTCTCTCCAAAGATGGTGGGGACAGAATTTTCTAGTAAAACTTCCTGTCTTTGTGACATCATCCACACAGGCAGGATCAAGGGAAAAATCAAACTACTCTAGCAAGTTTAGACCCTGGTCAAACAAAACTCCTCTGGGGCTCTGAGTGTGGGTGGGCATCTGAGAGACGACTTCAGGCAGCCCTTGAAAGGTGGGGAGAGGCCTGAGGTGCCCTTCTGTTAGAGTAGGGGCTCCTGGCTTTGCAGTGCCTTAGTTTGTCTCAAATTGGTGCCATGTTCTTATGTCTCTTTGGAGGTGGGGAGGATATTACATCCCCCTAAATGACAATTAAGAGTGCAGTAAGAACTCACTTGTACTTAGAACAGCAGATCGGCACACATAAACCAGTACTCTGGTCAGCTGACATATCCTGGTCCTCTGGTGCTTACAGTCTTTATCCCTGCCACCTCCATCCCCACCAAAAACTCACTCAGACTCCTGCCAGGTCCTGTGTGTTTCTCTACAGAGCAATCTGAATCTTCTTCACAGGCAAATCTCATCACATAACTCTCCCACCTCCAACCCTTCCCTGAGAAAAAGTCCCCCCGACCAGGTGTTAGTGATCAGATCCTCCCTCACTTCTTCATCCCCTTTTCCAGCCCCTATGTCCTCTCTGTGCTGTAGTCGTCTTGACTAGGGGTGGTTGTCCACTACACGGAAGATGCTAGAACTATGTAGAGATGTGTTTTGATTGATAGTTCCAAAAGGACAGGGAAGGGAGGAGAGGGAGTGTCTTAGTTCTTTTGGCCAACTATAATGACATACTATAAACTGCATGGCTTACAATGCCTGGAAATTTATTTCTTATAGTTCTGGAGCCTGAGAAGTCCAAGATCAAGGAAGTGGTAGATTCGGTGTCAGGTGAGGATCCAGTCCTCATAGGGTAGTGTCTTCTAGCTACATTCCCACATGGTGGAAGGGGCAAATGAGCTCTCTAGGGTTCCTTTTATAGGGACACTAATCCCATTCCTGAGAGATCTACCCTCATGCCCAATCAGCTCCCAGAGGCCCTATGTTGTATATCATCACCTTACAGTTTGAGGTTGTGACATATAAATTGGGGGGAGGGACATGAACAGTCAGATCACAGTAGGAGTTCACTGTTTTTCCAGTCCAGAGCAGGAAGGCTCAGTGTCTTGAATGTCTCACTAGAGGCTGATAAAAAAGAGTCCAGATTCCAGGCACCCCCAGTCCCACTAAAGTACTTCCCATGGCCTCAGCAGCTCAGGTCCTATGCACCTGCTTGCTCCTGGCCAGGAATGTTCCTTCTCCCAACCATGCCCCACACTTCCCTTGTCCCACGTGGCCACCCCCTACTCCTCTTTCAAGAACTTCAATATCACTTCCTGGAAGAAGACGCTCCCGAACTCATCAGACTAGGTTGTATCCCTTTATTATATAAGCTCTGCTCACAGACCCTAGGACTCAGTGCACTGGTAATTAAGCAATATGTATGAAATTCCTGACCACCAACTCTGACATTAGGTAAGCCTCCAGAGGGCAGGAGAGGCAGTGCCTGGCTTGCTGACGTCTATACTCACTCTGCCCTCAGAGAGCCTCTTACCTCATAGATATGCCATAATCTCAGCGAACAAAGAAGCTCCTTTCAAAACATCCTCTCCAAACACAATCCCATTTCTGGGTTTAATCTTCCCTAAGCTGTCCCCTGGAATCTCTGCCAGTAGTTTTCTTTCTACTCCTCACTATGTGAGGCATGACAGGTTTATTTCCCAAACTGCTCTGATCATAAAATTCTCCTAGATCTACATTCTATACTGACCCTTCAATGCTTAAACAGTTAAGTCCTGTTTCTTTCTTTTTATTTATTTATTTTTCAGAGTTTTGCTTTTTTGCCCAGGCTGGAGTGCAGTAGCGCAATCGTGGCTCACTCCAACCTCCGCCTCCTAGGTTCAAGTGATTCTCCTGCCTCAGCCTCCCAGGTAGCTGGGATTATAGGCCCTTGCCACCATGCCTGGCTAGTTTTTGTATTTTTAGTAGACATGGGGTTTTGCCATGCTGGCCAGGCTGGTCTCTAACTGACCTCAGGTGATCCACCTGCCTTGGCCTCCCAAAGTGCTGAGATTACAGGCGTGAGCCACCATGCCTGGCCACTTCCCAGTTTCTTAACTGCACACTTAAAGCCCTCTGTAATTCAGCTTTCATCTGCCTTCCTAAACTTCCCCATCTTCCACCCTTTAGGTGCTCAGCTTTCCATGACTGCTCTGAATTTCCCTACTTTGCTTGGTTCTTCCTTCTGCTGGATTTCATGGCTAAACTTAAATATTACCTCCTCTAAGAAGCTATTAATAACTCCAAATGAAAGGCACCTCCCAGTCCTCTGATATCTGATAACATTTTATCTGTGGTTTACTTGAAACAGCTATTTTCTACCTTGTACTAGAGTTATTCATGTGCAAATCTGCTCTGGTTTGAATGTAGCCCCTAAAGTTCATGTGCAGAAATTTTGATCTCCAATGCAGTGGTGCTGGGGATGGTGAGCTGATAGGAGGTGTTTGGGTCATGGGGGCACCACCCTCATGAATGCATTAACAGTGTTGTCACCAGCATGGGTTCCTTCCTCTTTCTCTACCCATATCCTTCCACCATGGGATGAAACATCAAGTAGGTCCTAACAGGAAGCCAGCCTCCTGACCTGGGACCTGGAGGTAAGAGCCTCCAGAACCACGAGCCAAATACATTTCTGTTCATTATAAATTACCCGATCTGTGGTACTCTTATAGCAGCACAAAATGTACTAAGACAAGGTCTAATTTCCCTTTCCAGACTACAAACTCTTTGAAGATGAGACTGACATTGATGTATCTACTAACACCCTTAGACTTTACCATAGTGTCTTGAACAGAACAGGAATAAGGTTAATGAGCAATAATATAATGATCTTTTTCTCTGTACTAATAGTGAGCATTTAGAAATTAATTTTAAAGTATTTAATTTGTTAGAGGAAGTCAACTAATTACCAAGGACACCAGTGTCCCTCTGTTGTTCTGATACCCTTAATATTTGCAATTTACTTCACGTTCCATAGTTTCATTCAATAGGTTATTGTTTGCAACACAACTCAAAGAAAAGTCCTATGCTGAAGGCTCAATAAATACAATGAAATGATGACATTGATGATGATGGTGATAAAAAAAGAGGAAAAAAAACATCCCATTGGCTGGCTTCCAGGTAATTTTCCAAATTTGGAGGAATTAGATGAGGATAGCAATCTAATTTAAAATTCACTTGGTGTTGTCTCTTAGATAAGTTGACAACTGCTGGGAGTCTACCTCCTTTTAAACACAGCCCACCTTAGGTGAATGAATGGACTTACATAATGGAATCTGGGTCAACCATAGCAATTCCACCGTAAACTACAAGGCACCAACTGAAAGTATATGATCGTAATTTAAGGATTAGAAAACCATAATCTCCACTGCAGAAGGGCCACATTAGTTCCTTTTGAAGCAGGTAAGTAAATGACCATCTTGTAAAGCTTCTGACAGTCAAAAGACAAGCACTTCTGAGTTAGGAACGCAGTAGGATGTCTAGATTAGAAGTAGTAAGGGGTCTTCAGATAATACTTGTGGCTAGTCCATGCTTTGTGCAGACTCCTCTTAAGTACCAAAGCCTGGGCTCAGGTACAGAGGACAATTGCTCAGATTTCTCCTATGCTCATCAGACATACTATTTCCCATCAGTAGTCCTTCCTGCTACAATGATGGCTGAGTCTGTCACCAAAATATCACAGCTTCTGAAACAAAATCACATCCCAAATTCTTATACGTACACACCTGTATTTACAAAACCATTTAAAAATAAATCCACTGAGTAAAGATGAATCACAAGAAAGGTTTCAAGTCAAAAGAAAATGATTTGACTAGAATGCCTTTTTGGGGGGTGGGGCTAGAAAGCATAAAATTGCATTCTCTGATTTAAAGACTTAGGGACCCTCAAAGGAAAAGGAGTTCTGATGAAATTGAAAGAATAAGTCACGTGGCATAAGAAATCAGCAATGCATGCATTTTCCCTGTCAGTATTTAATAGGTTAAAGAATATCAGTGAGGATGAATCATTTCTGTTTGAAGCATAAAACTCACTGACACAGAAACAAAGACGCTTGGAAACTTTATATTCTTGGTTCTTTGAACAATAAAGGGCCTGTCTAGTCAACATTTGGGGTAATTTTTCCCAGGGGGATTATTACTATTTGAGAGGGATGAAAGAGTAGCATTCTCATGATACATTTTTATTTTCTGAGAATAAAAATCTGTCTCTTTAGGAGGCCACATTCTGGATGTATCAAGAAGTGTGGAAAAAAACATGGGGTCTGCCACAGTTCGCAGACATGCTCTTCTAGCCATAAAGACAAACGCCGATCTGGAGAATTAGTTCTCTAACTTTGCAAAGCTTACATCAAGGACAGAACACACTTTCAGAAAGCTAGGAATAAGATTCAACGCTTCTAAGATTTGAGTTATTCTGCAAATGGGTAGGGGAGGCTTGGAAATAAAAGCCAAAGTAATTAACAGAGAATTTCAAACCATGGAAGAAAAGCATCAACATTTCATTATAGTACAGTGCTTTCCTTCAAGATCTCTGCCTCAAACAGTTTTCACAAACTGAGATGGGAATTCATAGAACTCAAACTATACAGTCAACTGGAAAGAAAATGGGTTTTCAAAGCCCAAACTGATGAAACCCAACAGCTATCAACCTGGGACTAGCTCTCATGATGCTTTGGGTATGTTTTTTCCTCTAAAATGTATTCTTGTGATCTCTCATTCTGCCGAACTGGAAAAAAAAACTGTGAACACACAGGCAGCAGAGCGGTCGCAAAGCTCCTTGTTGAGAGGTGAAATCACCCAGCCCTTACCATGCTCCAGAGCTTTCATGGGAAACCAGAAGAGGATGAGGGAGTGGACCAAGGCGTTGATGCAGTGACCCCAGAAAACCTAAGGGAAAAGAAACCAGGGGAGTCAGGAGCTGCCCAAAACGCTTGACCTCTGTGAAACTCTCAACAATCACCACATTGTGAAGGATCCTGGCCGTGCACTGCTGCATGGTTCCAGGAGTAGCATATTATTCTTGAATTTGGAAAAAAAAAACTCCACGAAAATCAACTATTTATTAATTTTCACATACAAATGACTGGATTACCTCCATATCACATTACTTTAGTTGCAAAGACCTAAGTACTTGCTCACATGTACGCGGATGAACACAATCTATCCACATGTGAAAATTTCATTCTGATCAGTTTTCTTTAGCATTGTAAGAGAGACAGCAACATTTTACAAACATCCAGAAAAAGGGTATTAGGTCAAAATTGTTAAGAAGAGACTAGCCAAGGCAGGTGGATCATGAGGTCAAGAGATCGAGACCATCCTGGTCAACATGGTGAAACCTCGTCTCTACTAAAAATACAAAAACTAGCTGGGCATGGTGGCGCATGCCTGTAATCCCAGCTACTCGGGAGGCTGAGGCAGGAGAATTGCCTGAACCCAAGAGGCGGAGATTGCGGTGAGCCGAGATCGCGCCATTGCACTCCAGCCTGGGTAACAAGAACGAAACTCCGTCTAAAAAAAAAAAAAAGAAGAGACTAAAATTGTGTCTCTTCTTAACAATTAAACTATGTCAGGGGCTGATGGCATGTCTTAAAAGCACTGAAAACATTCCAGTTGTAAATTCTTACAAGGCATTCTCACTCTTCTGTTTTACTGCTTCAAATTCCTCTCATTAAACTTTTCCTTTTATTTTTAGGATTTTAGATAATATGCATATTTGAAAATTCTCTTTATTTCAATGTTTAAGAGGTGAGAAAAAAGAACGAAAGGTTTAGTTTATTTTAAACTTTAGTCTCATTAATACATTGCCATCATTGTTTTAACCACTGCAATGATAGAACTATTAACTATTAAAGCCAGATTAAACATCTACAAATTGTTGCTGAGAATTATCATATAATTTGAGCCTAAGTAGTAATGAGACAACAGACAATAGTAAAAAATGTTATTATAAGACAATGGGATTTCCCCTGCTTTAAATGTTCGTTTTGCACCATCACTGACCTGTCTACCAAAAAAAAAAACCCTCTTCAAAGTGCCCGCAGGTAAGTTTCCAGGCATTCTCAGCTCTTACTTACTTCCTACCTCAAATGGCCTTTGAATTCAAATTCTGTAGAAAATGGACTGACGTAAATATTGCAGTGAAAATGGGTCACATTTTCCCATTAGTGGAATCATAGTTAACAAGGATGGGTAAAATCCTCAGGTCTCTTTGGATATGGGAGGCAGTAGAACCAATAAGGAGCCCTTCTGTGTCTTCCCTGCTTCGGATGTGACTAGTGAGCCTCCCCAGAAAAAGGCGGCTGTGAGGGACATCAGGAACATCGGGCTCAGAAGCAAGGCCCTGGGAGACTCTTCTCTCCTTGAGGCCTGAAGAGGTGACTCCCTGTGTCCTTCTCACTGACGGTCCGGGAACCACGCATGCAAATCATGACCACCGCCAGCACACAGTACTGGAGCTGAACTGTGTGAGGGACTGCTGTCTATAAACTTCTGAATCGCCCCTGCACAAAGACCTGAGGCAGAAACGAGGCCGTCCAGCCACGCTCACATCTCTCCCCTCTGCGCCCAGGCACACATCTCTCTTTCCTTTGGATGGGGTCACCCAAGCACTCTGCCACTTTCAGCCACAAATGGCATCTGTGTGGCAGACCCCTCTGTTGTCTGAGACTGCACGACCCCTTTAACACCCCATGCGGCTTCAGCGAGGGCTTGTCAGTATCACCTATACCTTTATTTTTTGAGATGGAGTTTTGTTCTTGTTACCCAGGCTGGAGTGCAATGGCGCGATCTCGACTCACTGCAACCTCCACCTCCTGGGTTCAAGAGATTCTCCTGCCTCAGTCTCCCAAGTAGCTGGGACTACAGGCATGTGCCACCACGCCCGGCTAATTTTTTGTAATTTTTGTAGAGACAGGGTTTCTCTATGTTGGTCAGGCTGGTCTCGAACTCCCGACCCCAGGTGATCCACCTGCCTCAGCCTCCCAAAGTGCTGGGATTACAGTCGTGAGCCACTGTATCTGCCCCCACCCCCACTTTTTTTTGGTCTCCTTTCTGATTCTCTGGTCCAGAAAAACAAAACAAAACAAAACCACCACAATTCATGTGATCCCTGAGTTCATATCTAGCCAATTTTACTCACTAGCTAAAGAAACATTTTATTTATAATGACAAATCCAGCAACAATTAGGTAAGCTCCCACTGGGCCTCCACATGGGGCTGCAGGACCGTGCAAGGGAGGTCTCTGACAGCAGAACCTGGGCTGTGGGAGCTGCTGCTCACACTGATATCAGGGGCTGATGGGGAGAAGCAGAAAGGAGTCAACACACTGGGATTACAGCCCACGCAGCATGGACCCGTTGCCTGAGAAGGTGTCTTGAAGTCACGGGGTTTGTGAGTGGGTCATGTTCTCAGGGCTTCTCAAATATTCCTTCTTAACCTTCAAATATCTCATAGGCAGATGAATAGAATCAAACAGCCATGCCTTTCTGAGGTGACAATTCTGAGATCACACCCTGTTTACCTTTGTGTTGAAGCCTTCACCGTTCTGGGTGATTTTGTAGAGCTGGGGAAACCTGAGCATGCTCTCCTGAGTGCAAGACCTCTCGAAGATTCCCAGAGTGAAGGGCGGCAAAGCGGTGAAAATCTGCAGGGAGAACAATGAGCCATTAAGAGCAGCCCTTCCCATCCACAGGGCTGCAGCACTCCCTTCTACCAAACGATGACTTCATTTCCAGTCAAGTCCCAACCTGAGATTCCATGATTCACAACTCCCCAGACACCCTCCAAACAAAGGAAATCAATGTTAATCACTAGAAAATGAGTGCCGTGAACACTAAAAGTATCATAAATTATCTGATTAGCCAAGATTTCTTGTTAAATTAGCAACTACCCTCCTTTGTAAAATGAGGACTGATGTGGAACCATGCCACAGTTAGCTCTGTGAAGTGTTGCTTTGTTTTCTGTCATGCTAGCGGAGGTACAGTTTACAGCTCTCCATCCTGACGTTATACTCAAATTTCAGGAAGCACAATGTACCTCACCCATTTATTCATTCAACAGACATTTACAATAAATGAATTATGAGCTAGATACTGTGATAAGCACCAGGCATGGAGAGATTTACACATAGAAGAAGAAAGAAGGAAAGGAAGCTGGTCCTGGACCTCCAGGAATGCCACCTACTGCAAGATTGGGGGAGGGGAGTGGGGCAACAGGTATAGAGATAAGTCTATAAAAGGCAGCGCTCCGCAAAACTATTAACACCTGTGGGGGAGAGGATGCAGAAGGAGAAGGGAGAGTCACCACAGGATTCTTGCACCAAAGAGTATCTGACCTGCAAAGTATTGGATCAACAAGATTTGGCAAGATGATAGGGATGAGGGCAAGGAAGCATTCCCATGAGAGAGGCACCCCTTACAAAGCTTTGAGCCATGAGCATGCCTGTTTGGGGGTGTTGAACAAAGTTTACCGGAGGCCACTGTTTGGACTGAGCTCCTGTACGCAGCCCCAGCAGACCTCACCAAATCAGAATGGTTGTTACTTGTGCTAAGAGCTGGGTCATCAAACTCAACTTTGAAACAGGCCAATTTTCCAAAAAACAGGAGATTCACAGCAACCGGTTTACCTGGGTCCAAGAAAGGGCCCAGTTTACCTGAGACAGCAGGATATAGAAGTCCCCTCTGTTTAACTCTGTAAGGAAAGTCACTTTGAAACAACCAATCACTTTTTGGAGTATCTGATCTGTGAGGTATTGGACGGACAGGATTTGGCAAGATGACAAATCCTTGTTTGTTATGCTTCTGTTTCTTTAGTCTCTTTCTGCCTATGAAGCTGGTCTCCTCTGCTCAGCTCATCAGAGCAGAACACTCATTCAGTTTCATGGAATGAGATGTTACCCAATTTCAGAATGGCTAATACAAGCCAATTCGATCTTTAAATTGTTGTAATTTTGTCTTTTGATGAGAAACCTTCTAAGATCCACAAGATGGTGGCTGGCTGAGGGTGCAGTGTCAGGAAAGGATAGGAAGGATATCAAACCATCTCCAGTGACAGTGAATTCTTGGGCAAACAGTGCCTTGCAAGACTGACTTTCACCTGTACTCACATTTGTGTATTAGAAAGATAAAGCAGAAGCTGAAGAAGGTGCTTGGAAGAAACATGTCATTTTAACTCAGGACATGCTGGCCCTGAGGGTCCTTCTCCTGCTTGATTCTGGGCATGGTTCACAGAGCCTGGGTCACTTGTTGCTGAGCGTCAGCGTCCCTCAAATCTCCACCTACAAACCGAACAAGCTCTCAGGCCTGTGTGTCTCTAAGAGAATTCTGAACTCACACTACCTATTTGGAGATGGAGTATGTGGCCAGAGCAAGCTGTTCCCACATCCACTGGGAGCAGGCAATCAGGTGTGTGGTGAGTAGAGCCAGTGAAACTCTCACGTTCTTCCTTCAGCCCGCAGCAGAATGGAAGGCAGCCTGGGATTTCAGTGTGCTGCAAAGACTTCAAGAAGAAATCCACAGGAGACTTGTTGCACTCACTTCCCTCACAACAACAAAAGTTGTCTGTTTTATGGCCGTACAGAGCTTTCCAGAAGCCCTGTACACTTCCTTAGTACCTACCCTCACCTCTGTTGCTCTGCATCAATGTGTACATGTGATATTGTGCCTACTGATTCCACTGCAGTCTTTTTTTTTTTTAAAAAAAAAGCTTGAGCTTTTCCTTCTACCCATCTTCAAATTCTCCCCTGCCCTTCCTCACCATGCTATAATGAAGCCCAGCAAGCCTACATATTTTCTACTCTGCCTATAGCATAACACACACACACACACACACACACACACACACACACACGGGATCATAACTTGTTTCATAAAATGTTGACACTGGCCAGTCGTTATGGCTTCTGCCTGCAATCCTAGCACTTTGGGAGGGCAACACAGGAGTTTGAGACCAGCTTGTGCAACACAGTGAGTCCCTGTCTAAACTGAAGAAAATAAAAAAATTGGTGGGTATGGTAGTGTGTGCCTGTAGTCCCAGCTACTTGGAAAGTTGAGGCAAGAGGACTGCTCCAGCCTGGAAGGTTGAGGCTGCAGTCAGCTATGGTTGCAACACTGCATTCCAGCCTGGGCAACAGAGTGACACCCTGTCCCCTGCCAACCAAAAATGTAGACAGTATTCATATTCTTCTTCATCATGCTTTTCTTGCTGAACAGTACATTACAGAAAGCTCTCCAAATCCCTTGGGTTTGAGGCTAATGCAGTCTTTTAATGCTCACATAATTATTCATAGTATGGATGTACCATATTTTTTTAGCCATTCACCCACTGACAGGCATTCATTTTCTTTCCAGTTCTTTGTTACCACAAATATTATGTAATACATATCTATACTATGTTAAACATACAGACATTTTCTTTTACCTCTATGGGAATAAGGCCCAGCAGTAGAGTTGCTGCGTAAAAGGATACATACATTTTTAATTTTACTAGATTCTGCCTTTTAAAGCATTTTGAAAGCATTTTCCTCTCCCATTGCAAAAGACAGTCACAGCCTTTTCCCTGTTTCCCTATCGGCAATGGTTGTTACATTGGTCTTTTAATGTTCTCCAGTCTTAAAAATTAAAGATGTTACTTCTTAATTTAAAAAGTTACATTTCCCCAACTACAGTGAGTTTGAGCATGTTTTCACACATTTGTTGGCTCTCTGGATTTGCATTTCTGTGAAATGTCTACTCATGTCTTTTGTCCACTTTCTATCCATAGTTTATCCTCTTTTTGAAGAGTTCTTTGAGTAGAACAGATATCAACTCTGTCTTTCCGTTATGAAATTTCATGCAAATGGACTCTCTATTGGTTTTTTAAATGGGTTCATTTGCCGTATTAAAAGCTTTTAACATTTAAATGGTTGTGAAATTTCTTTGCGTGTCCAACTGTGTTACAGAAGTTTCCCCTCCGTGAAAATTACATGTTTTCAGAAGTGTCTTGTAGGATTTTACTACTTTATTTTGCACATTTAAGTCTTTAATATATCTGGAATTAATTTTTCTTCTTTTTTTTTTTGAGACGGAGTTTCGCTCGTTACCCAGGCTGGAGTGCAATGGCGCGATCTCGGCTCACCGCAACCTCCGCCTCCTGGGATCAGGCAATTATCTTGCCTCAGCCTCCTGAGTAGCTGGGATTACAGGCACGCGCCACTATGCCCAGCTAAGTTTTTGTATTTTTAGTAGAGACGGGGGTTTCACCATGTTGACCAGGATGGTCTCGATCTCTTGACCTCGTTATCCACCCGCCTCGGCCTCCCAAAGTGCTGGGATTACAGGCGTGAGCCACAGCGCCCGGCCTAATTTTTCTTTATAGGAGTCCATTTTTTTCCCAGATAAAGAGCCAGTTGTAAGAACATAATTAGGCCAAACTTTCTCCACTACATTGAAAGATCGCCTTCAAGGCTTATCAAATTCTCATGTATTACACACCTAGAATCTCAAACAGGAACGTAGGTCTGGAACCTCCAACTTATTTGTCAATAACAGTGACTTGGTTATGGTGGCTTCATAGTATAGTCTGATATTTAGCACAAATAAGTCTACTTTTACGATCTTTTTGAGCATGCTTTACCTATTTATTCTCAGATACTTGAAAATTTCATTTATAATTTAATATTACTTCATTCAACCTTCCTCTTTCTTCCCAAAACATTCACTTGTTGGAATGGCATCTCTGTGGAATCACATATATTTATATATTAATTTTAGAAGAATTGAATCTTTTATGATACTGTCTTCCCACACAAGAAAATAGTATGCTTTTCCATTGTTCAGTAATACTTTTTTAAAAAATGTAGGTACTGTAAACATTTTTCCTATGCAATGTATAATTTTAATTGCTTTTTTGAAAGAATTATTGCTTCCTTTGCATTTCTAGGTGTCCATTGCTAGAGCAAAGAAAAAAAAAAAAAGAAAGAAAGCTATTTATTGCTAGGCTAGAAAAAGGCTATTGATTTTTAAAATATATTTATCATTGATCTGGTCACTTTATCAAATTCTGTTATAATTCTTGTATTTGTCTACTGGTATTTTTTTGTTTTCTAGATAAACAATCACATATGAATATATTTACATTACCATATTTCTGTGAGCATATTTGCATAAGTATAGAAATTGTTCACTGTTTTCCCAATATTTGTAGTTTTCTCTGCAGTTGCCAAAAAATAGAAAACAATGATAAATTATATAGTGATGGCAGGCATCTTGATTAATTTCTTATTTTAATGAAATCGTTTCAGAATTTTACCATTTTGGGCAGCATGCTACTGGTTTTTGTAAATAGTCTGAATTCTGGTTAAATGGCTTTTTCTATTTCTATTTTATTTAGAGTTCTAGTCCTTACTTTGGGAATGGCAGCTGAATTGCCTCAAATACTTTTGTAGCATCTCCTGAGGGGATCGTGTTTTTCTTATTTTATTGATATAGTGATATTTAGAATGATGTTTAATTCTGAGCCTCCTGCAATCCTGAAATAAATCTTACTTTGTCATATACTTTTTCTTTTAATATATTATTGAACTCCATTTGCCAATATTTATTTAGAATTTATTGTATTTATGTTTATAAGTGAGACTGGCCCAGTTTTCTTCTTCAAATGATGCTGGCTTGATAACAGGATTCATTTTCCACAACAGGTTAAATAATATTAGAGTATTCTCTGCACTATAACAGACAAAATCTAGCTGAAATCCATCTGATCCTAGTAGCATTGGTCCCTGGTAGTTTTCTTCTGTCTCATTCTACCCACAAAACAAAATGATACAGAAATTTGACTATGGATATAATGAGTATCTCCTGGGACAGGATTCATTCATTTTTGAGGAAGATACAAGAGTTTCAAGCCTGTTTGTTGTTGTTTTTGAGACAGAGGCTTGCTCTGTCTTCCAGGCTGGAGTGCAGTGGTGTGATCTCAGCTCACCGCAACCTCCTGTCTCAGCCTCCCAAGTAGCTGGGACTACAGGTGCACACCACCACACCCAGCTGATTTTTGTATTTTTAGTAGACACGAGGTTTCACCATGTTGGCCAGGTTGTTCTTGAACTCCTAACCTCTGGTGATCCACCTGCCTCACCCTCTCTAAGTGCTGGGATTACAGGCATGAGCCAACATGCCCAGCCTCAAGCCTATTTTAATGCTATTAACTTGTTAGGAGAATTAGTTTGAGAAACAAGGACTTGCTACTTTAGCTGGCTGGTGAAATCAAACACAGTAAATTTAGAAGAAAAAGCAGGAAAGAAATACTGCTTAAAGGATATGACAGGGGAGAACCCAGCCCAGAGGAGGAGGATTACCAGCAAATGCCTTCCTAATCACAAACGTTCTCTTGCAGGGGGTCTCTAGAATGATCCTGGACTGAAAAAATTGCTAAATAGAGCATTATTGGAGCAAGAATGGCCAAACTGGAATATGGATTAAGATAATTAGGTAACAGCACTCAATCCACGTTAAATGTTTCAGATTTGATCATTATACTTTGGTTATATAAGAGGAAGATCTTGCTACTATTGACTGAAGTATTAAACAGTAAAGGGGCATGATGTCTGTAATACTCTGCTAGGTCAGAAATAAATGCATTCACTTGTATGTGCATGAGTGTAGGCAAGTGTGCATGTGAACAAGTATGGAGAAAGAGAATGCAATTGGGGTAAAACGCTAATAAATGTTGGATGAAGGGAAAATAGCAGTTCTTTGTACCTTTTTTGTAACTTTTCTCTAAATTTCTATTTATACAAATGTCACCAAAACAGTTTCCATGGGGGCAAATCTCCATGTTTCCAAAAGGTTTGGCCCCTCCAGTATGAGCAAGTCTGGAGGCCAGGGGTGCTTTTGGGTTCACTTGGCAATTCCTTGACCATTCCATCCAAACTGCCAGCACTCACCAGAAGCCCACCTCAATGCCTGGTAACCTAAGCCCTTTCACCCTGAAATACACTTTTTTTTTTGAGATGGAGTCTTGCTCTGTCACCCAGGCTGGACTGCAGTGGTGCAATCTTGGCTCGCTGTAACCTCCATCTCCTGGGCTCAAGCAATTCTTCTGCTTCAGCCTCCTGAGTAGCTGGGACTACAGGTGTGCACCACCACTCCCAGCTAATTTTTGTATTTTTAGTTGAGATGGAGTTTCACCATGTTGGCCAGGATGGTCTCGATCTCTTGACCTCATGATCCGCCTCGGCTTCCCAAAGTGTTGGGATTACAGGCGTGAGCTACCACGCCCGATCGAAATATACTTTTCTATCACAGTGTACTCTATAGTTTGGGGGGCAGAAAGACTGCACAGAATATATTCTCAACCGTAGAGATGTGTATAACAATAACTAGAAAGGTTGGGGGCTCATGCCTGTAATCCTACAACTTTGGAAGGCAAAGGTGGGAGGAATGCTTGAGCCCTTAGCTGGATGTGGTGGCACTTGCCTGTGGTCCCAGCTATGAAGGAGGCTGAGGTGGGAGGATTGCTTGAGCCAACGAGGTCAAGTCTAGAGTGAGCAGCGATGGTGCCACTGCACTCCAGCCTGGGTGACAAAGGAAGACCCAGTTACAAAAAAAGAAAGAAAGAGAGAGAGAGAAAGAAAGAAGAAAGAAAGAAGAAGAAGGAAGGAAGGAAGGAAGGAAGGAAAGAAGGAAGGAAGGAAGGAAGGAAGGAAGGAAGGAGAAACACGAAAGAGAAAGAAAGAAAGAAAGAAAGAAAGAAAGAAAGAAAGAAAGAAAAGAAAAGAAAGAAAGAAAGAAGAAAGAAAGGGAAAGGAAAAATTGCAGTATCTCTGAGATATTCTTTGTTAATCTCGGGTGGTGCTAAGGAATCTGCAGTTTTCAAATAAACCGTGGTTATTTTCCTGCAAATGGTCTGTGGGCCTTATTTAGACCAACACTGCCCTCTAGCCTGTCAGCATCTTATGCATAGTAGGCACTCAATAAAATCTGCTGGATTAATTTGAATTGGCCAAAACTGCATGAAGCTAAGAAAAGAATCCAGCCCTCATGCCCGAAGCATGGAAATCGGTCTCAAATCCACTCATGCTAGAAGCAGGTGATATATATACTTGTCCTTGGCTCTACAACAGAATCTCCTAGGTCTCAGTATTTTGTTTATATCATAGGGATGTGACATGTGCTTGTGTGAAGTGTCAACTCTATGACATCTGACCCTTTCATGCACTGAATAATCGTGCGGCATTCTGCATATTTCCCCCAAATAATTGCATCACTTTAACCTGCTCAAAATAGTTTCAGGTCCTGCAGAGTTAGCAACCTCTGGTCTCCCCTTACTACACAAAGGGAAGGCCCTGGAACCCCTATCCATGGGTAGGTGGTCAGAGTAGTCTTTCTAGCACAGGAGAGGAATGGACATCAATTCTGTCCTGTTCTTACCACTCCTTATCTTTGTCTTTTAGGGTATCAGTATCAGCAAGAAATGTGCTAGTACACTTTGCAGCAAGTTAACACAGTTAGTGCCTCATTAACACAATTTAAACTCAAGATCCAGACGCAGTCCTCCTTGGAGGTGTCTGAATCCACACATCTGACCCTCTTAATCTGCAAGCTACCCAGGACCGGCACAAACCACTGCATTCAGCATTTTACACCAGCCCCCCAGCACTGAGGTTATTCAATTAAAGGGGTTGAAAGCACAGAAGACTTAAATATCTAGCCACCAGTGGATATGCACACTAAATATTTACAGCACCACAGGTTTTATTATTCTATGTCTGGTAAGTTCCATTGATATCTATCTGTGATGGCTGCTTCAGAATGTAAATTCCCACAGAGCAGAGTTTGGGTACAAAACAAGTGAGAGAACAATTCAAAAAGTGGGCCATTCTAGGGTCTCTAGAACGCTCAGCTACAAGCCCCTTAGTTCTTCCTGCCAGTGAAACAAAAAGCAAGAAAGCTAAGCAGCTACTGAGTCATTTTAGCTAGAGTTTATATTTATTTCTAGCTTCTGAATTCATCAGAATAATAAAAAAGGAACTTGAAAATCATAAAAAATACCAGATGAGCTGATTACCATCCTTCATGGCAGTTGGAAGTCAGAATTCATTATTTTAGTTCTAACTGCAGAAGAAAATGTTCTTCCACAAGGACAGAGACCCTTTCAGGAAGGAGAGAAGGGACACAGATCACGCACTGTATATTTGTATCTATGTTTAAGAATTCAGAACAAAAATAATGAAGTGGAATGAGTTTACATGTAGTTCAGAAATTTTTACTTGAGCTAAAAACACGAAAATGTTGCACAGGCATTCTGTAAGGGGGTAACAAGGGTCTATTATCAAGATATATGGGTTAATAATTTCATGGGGTTATTCAAGAATGATCTGCTATGATTGAAACCATGTGTGGAGACTTTGGGCTTCTGCAGGATGTTTCACAGCAACAAAGGGCCCAAAGATGTATTTGTGCTGCCTGCTAAGTATACAGATGATTGACTTAGATACACTCCCAGACATAAACAGTGAAGGAATGTCACTGAAGTTCTGCATGCTATCAGATAGAGATGAAGAATGCTTACCACATTGTACAGGCCGATGCACCAACGTTCAAATAAAATCTGCCCAGAAAATCCATTAACAAAGGCGAACCAAAGCTGAAAGAGAAGAAAGTTCATGAAGTTTTATATCAATATTGACCTACATGTTTCCATTCACTGAAGAAGTCACGGGAATGTGGACCACCAGCTGGACACAGCTGCTGAGGAATCAGGAGCCACAGGACTGCAGTAGTTCTTCTTCCATGAAACACAGACTCCCGATATCACAGACACCCATATTGTAAGGAAATTTTATATTTAAGGCATACATCTATTTTAAGAGATAATATGCCCATGTTCACCGAAAACTACTTTATATTTAATTTGTATTTAATACGTTTGGTGTCAAAACTTTCTCATGGACTGGAGGAGTCTGGACTTCACATTCCTGTTTTTCTCTAAAGTTGAATCGAGAAATACAATTTGTCTTTGTAGGACTTTCAAACAGATATAAATCATGAATAAAAAAACAACAACAGAAACTCCTCTGTTGGTCATGTGTGTTCTGAGTTCATAAAATATTGACCCTCCTTAATCAGATGTCTACCACCTTGGCCAAGGTCAAAACACAATAATATAAATGAAACATTCTCAAATCATTTTTTGAAGTAATGAGAGATGTATGAATAAATAAACAAAATGTGGACTGTTATTCATGCCTTCAAGTAGTCTATGATTCTAACTGATTATGCAAGACACAAAAACAACTACAGAGCCAAGTGCCAGGATATAATTAGTGTGCACAGCAAGGGATAAAACACTGTCAGAGGCTGGGTGCGGTAGCTCACGCCTGTAATCCCAGCACTCTGGGAAGTCAAGGTGGGTGGATCACTCGAGGTCAGGAGTTGGAGACCAGCCTGGCCAACATGGTGAAACCCCGTCTCTACTAAAAATAAAAAAATTAGCCAGGTGTGGTGGCACATGCCTGTAATCCCAGAGATACTCAGGAGGCTGAGACAGGAGAATCACTTGAACCCAGTATGCAGAGGTTGCAGTGAGCCAAGATTGTGCCACTGCACTCCAGCCTGGGTGATTAGAGAGAGAAAGACGCTGTACAAAAAAAAAAACCCAAAAAACATAAAAACCAAAACAACAACAACAAAAGCACAGTCAGAGAAGTCAAGGTCACCCAAATGTAATGGGAAGACACAGAGGCAGTAGGACGGGGGTGGAAGAGGGCCGAGCCACTGGGAGGATAGAAATCTGACTTAGAAGGAAGCAAAGATGAAAATATGGAATACAAAAAGCTGCTGCTGAAAATTCAGCTATATTTATATGAGATGTGATTCCAATGATTGAGGGCAGACTTTAGAGTGTCTCATACCAATCACAGCATCGACTTAGCTGTGTCACGTCATCACAGACTGAGACTGTTGCTGTGTGGAACAGAAACCGTGACAACCAGAGTTGAGGTCAGCCCTGATATTGAAATTTTACTGAGGCAGATTTTTCAAAATCAGTTTCTTGACTCCACCATACTAAGTTTCTTGAAGCAGGAATTGTTCCCTATGCTGCTCTGTGCACTACTGTATCCAGCCTGATACTCAGTACAAACGGGCTCACTAAGTCCAAGTGAGATCAAATTAACGGCGTCAATTCAAGAGCTAAATAACATTTTCCTTAAATACAGCTTTCACCTTGTCATTCCCCTGTTCAAAAAATACTAGGGCTCCTTCCTAAATCCAAGATAAACGTGCTGACTTTCAAAAACCCTTCCACGCTTCTATTCTCAATTTCTTTTTCCTTTCAAAGTTTTTATTTTATTACAAATTGACCTGTATGTATTTATGGGGTAGAAAGTGATATTACAGTTTCTGAACACAGTGTAGAATAATTAAGTCAAGCTAACCAACATACCTATCACCTCAAATACTTATTTTGGGGGGTGAGAATATTTGAAATTTACTCTTCGCAACTTTGAAATGTACAATGGACTATTTGTTATATTCACCACACTGCACAATAGATCTCAAAAAACTCCATACAACTTATTCCTCCAGTGTGAGACTTTGTACACTTTGACCATCACCCCCATTCCCTCCATCCTCTGTCATCACGATTCTATGTAGGATTAGATGCTCTCTCTCCTAGTCACTCAATTTCAACTATCCTCCCAAGAGGTCTGGCTGTTCTCACTGAAGAAATATTGATAAAGAACTAAGAACCAGAGGTTCATGCTGTGTTCTGTGCTTGGAAAATTCCCACAACATTTATTCAAATATCAGCCATCTCTAAAACCACAATTTCAACCCCACTCTGTCCCTGCCACTGGAGGTCTTGGCAATCAATACTTCGACCACACTTTTAATGCAAGGAGAACCTGGATCCACATCAGATTCAAATACATTAGTAAATCGTTTCAAGGGTTTTAAGTTAATTTTCCTGACTGTGCTATAATTCTGAGTTCTCCTATTCAAACCATTGAGCAAAAAGATATCTAGTGAGTATTTTATTGTACTGCAAAATCCAGCTAATGTGTTGTCTTGTTGAAGGTATTAGTGATATTTCTACTGCTCTGCCCTCCCTCACTTCAACTGAAAATAGCAAAAATAATTAAAAATAGAAAAGAGGCTGGGCACAGTGACTTATGCCTGCAATCCTAGCACTTTGGGAGGCCAAGGTAGGAGGATCCCTTGAGCCCAGGAGTTCAAGACCAGCCTGAGCAACACAGTGAGAACCTATCTCTACAAAAAATAAAAAATTAGCTAGGCGTGGTGTTGTACACCTCTGTAGTTCCAGCTACTTGAGAGGCTAAGGCAGCAGGATCCCTTGAGCCTAGGAGGTGGGCAGCTGCAGTGAGCTCTGATTGTGTCACTATACTCCAGCCCAGGTTATGGAGTGAGACCCTGTCTAAAAAAAAAAAATAAAAACAAAAAACATACACATAGTGAAACTATGAGTAGCTTTAATTAAAACTACAAATAGTATATAATAGATACAAATAAATATGATCAGATTAGGTCAAATCATGGGAGAATGCCCACAGCAGACAGAACCTACAAATTAAACCAAGCAAAAAAAGTTTTCAAAGAAATAGTGAAACGATGCAAGAAACCAACTCTTATTTAAACAATGAAATACAGAGGTTGGGGCAAGCAGTGGCAGAGGTTGAATCCTGGATTGATTCAACACAGCAGGCAAATTGAAGCTGAAGAGCAAATGCTGTTTCTCTCCTTTTTTCCAAGAATCAAGCAGGGAGGACAGAAGGGCACCATAGGTAGTATAAATGACAATCAACTTGGCAGATGCTGATCAAGTTCAAGGTGAACTGAAAAGAAAAAAAATGCAGAATAATCCAACAGAAACCTATGACATACAGAAATTTCCTGTGAGGAATGCAGGCCTCCTCTCCCAAGTGAAAGAAACAACAGCAAGGGAGGTGCTTATGATTGCAAAGTGATAGGAGAGCAGAGTACAAAGTGCTCAAAGACAACTTGGAATCCCCTTTCCCCTAGACATCTTCCAAAAATATTATAGAGAAGACAAGAGGACATGACAAATACACATGAAATAATCTTTGCAGGAGAACCAGGCTATTCTGCAGAAGAAAATCTCAAACATTCTTGGTGAGACTAAAAGAGCTAATGAAAATGTGAATTTTCTTTGCATCAAGAGTTACAATAAGATGTATAATATAGCAAAGAAAGAGACAAATAGGAAGAGGTGAGTGTTACAAACTGAAGCCACCTAAAGAGAAACATGAAAGCCAGAATTGACACTGCTGGCCGGGCACAGTAGCTCATGACTATAATCCCAGCACTTTGGGAGGTTGAGGCAGATGAATCACCTGAGGTCAGGAGTTTGAGACCAGCCTGGTCCAACATCGTGAAACCCCATGTCAACTAAAAATACAAAAATTAGCCAGACATGGTGGTGCATGCCTGTAATCCCAGCTCGTCAGAAGGCTGAAACAGGAGAATCTCTTGAATCTGGGAGGCGGAGGTTGCAGTGAGCTGAGATTGTGTCACTGCACTCTAGCCTGGGTGACAGAGCAAAACCCTGTCTCAAAAAAAGGAAAAAAAAGAATTGACACTGCTAAAACCACATATAGAGATAGGTAGTAAAACCCGAGAAAACAATTCTCAGCAAAGGTCAAAGGTTAATAAAGATTTTTAAGAGAAATGGATAGAGTTAGAAGCCTTTAAAGATAACAAAAAAATTTCAAAAAGATGTACTTAAAAAAAAGAGAAAAATAGAATTAAAAAAATGTTCAAAGATATAACAGAAGAAAATTTTCTGAAATACTCTAATCAGCCAATAGGGAGGAGATCCTTTGTCCTAGGAAACAAAACAAGCAATAGACACAGAAAGATCAATACCCACATATGTCCTGCTATAGGAATTAATGAGTTTTAAGATTTCATAGGATCAATTCTTCAATATATTCAGATAGAAAAAGTAGCAAAGGGAAAAAAATCAAGGAGGCTTCCTATTTCTCTCTAGCAGTACACAATACCAGAAGAGTAGAAGAGGTTTACATTTTCCCTACACGTAGGGAAATAAAGTGTAATAGGAATTTTAGTAAAAGATAGAAATCCAAGGAAACATCAAAAGCTGAAAACTAACATAAAATATGATGACGGAAATAATACTAAACATGTGTGTTATATTAATAATAAAAAATAAAACCTCAGGTGGATTAAAAAAAATCCAAAATATACGCTACATATAAAAGAAACATGCAAAATAAACTCAAAAAAGATCAAATTCTTAGCTTGAATTTACAAAGCCCAACACAATCAGGCCCCCACCTATCTTTCTGACAACACTATATCTCCTCCAGTCAGCTGCAATGGTGTTCTGTTGATTCCCTGCACCAAGTACAGACCCAGCTTTATTATTTTGCACCTCAATATCAGCAATATGTCAACAGCATTTGTTTAATAAGTCAACTTTATCCCATTTGTTTGAAATGTCCCTCATCACATGATAAATTACCATAGTATTTGGAAAAGAATATGTGGTATTTCAGTCTCTATATACTCAGATAAATTTCAGATGCCTTGAATATTTAAACACAAAAAACAAAACTCTGAAAGCATTAGAAGAAAACATGA